AACTCTTAACCTATATCTTAAAAATATGAGTTAAAAAAATTATTGATAAATAATTACTTCTAACTAATTATAAATTAATTATTTAAATAATTTATGGTTTAAATTTATGATAAAATGATTTAAATAATTTAAAAGTAAATTATAAATTAATATATTTAATATTCTAACTAATTATAAACCGATAAAATAAGATAACTCCACACACAACTATAATATTTTGTAGGATTAATGCCATTTATCGTCCCTCTACTATCAAAAATAGTACAATATAAACCTTTTACTATGGATTGGCTTCATGTCGTTCCTCTACCATCAATTAACTCCGTTTGTCATCCCTCTGTCTACAATGCTAAAACATATTAATGTGGTCCCTCTGTCCAATGTAAGTTAGCGGTACTGTTTATTAACTGTTAAGTGCAATAGTCACACCGGTTAAGCCTTTTTAAAATTTTTTTTGCCACCTTACCTTGTGACCTCCACCCTTGCCACATCATCTCCAATTGATACGAGGCTTTTTCATTAGACAAATTAGCTATTTGCTGCATTGATGGGACGACCATAATCTAGTCATATAGTAGGATAAAATCATTTATAAACAATTTTTTTAGGGTTTTTTCTTTTACACCAAGGATATTATCTTACAGTTAAAATTGTTAATAACTTAATACTGTTGAGCTAACAATAATTAATAATTTTGTTAAAATTATTCATTTTTATTATAATTTTTTTATTTTTTTAATAGTTAATTATAATATTTAAAAATAGTTATTTAAATTTACCTTTTATATATATATAAAAAAAAAAGCTTTAACAAGTGATTGGAATATTTATTTTGACAAATACATAAAAATTGAAAAAATTACAACAAAGTAAAAGCTAAATAGAAATATTCATTAAGTGAATAAAATAATTGTTAGGCTAATATATAAGGTCCAATTGTTTCCAATGACTTAAGTATATAGTTCAATGGTAATTTATTTTTAGTAAATTTAAGAAACTTTAAGTTCAAAGTACATAATATGTAGATAAAATGGATTAAAAAATGAAAAAAAAATTATCTGCAATTGTATATTAAAAAAAGATTTAAATATAATCTTTTTATATAACCTTATGTATTATTTAATGATTTGTTTTAATTTTCATTCAAAGTTCATTGGGATATAGTATATATCCATTGGTATATGATAGTAAGGAATAAAGTTATGGCCATTGTTAATTTTA